ACAGATGTAGATCCCTGATGTATAACGTAGTACCCTTATGACAAAAGCAGACAAACAATGGCAGTAAAGACAAAATGAGGCGTACTGAATGTGACGGCTGGAAATATAACAATATGTAATGTATAGCTTTTGTAGAGTGTACTTTTTAATGTACCAAGAAAAGAGGGTTGTGCCCTCAAATTTTGAACTTTGTTCACTACAGCATTCTCTAGAGTTGGTACATTGTAATAAAGCGACTTGTGTTATCCACCGAAACTTTGCTACACGTACCAGGTATCACACTGCTTTTCTGTCTAGCATTTATTATCTTGTTCGTGATGATAGATTCTTGAAGTCAAACCTGCATCATACTATTTTTGACTATGCAATTAAAAAAACCGGATTAATGCTAAACGGAATTGATTTCATTTATTCCCACCAGAAAAAAAAAGGTAATTCCAATAGTATGAAACCTTGAACCTGCAGCATAATAATAATGGATGGCTATGCAAGATCGTGATTATCTAAGATTGCGTTATTATCAATAATTTTTTACGTTTGCAACATCAGGTGATTCCACATGTGATACAAAATCGTACGCGCGATCTGCCAATTCTACTTATCGTAATTTGACGTCGCTTTATTGATAGAAAAATAATTCCTGGTACAGCGATAAATGAGTAGAATTCTCTCATTCTCTACATGTTCCAACGTTCCAACGCTCCAACGCTCCAACGCTCTTATTAATCTGCTGTGTTAATATTAGCGTCAATATTGGAATCATCTACCATATTGACATCAATGTTAGTGATAGTTGTTAGATAAAGAAGTTGGAGTTTCTGTAGTCTCTTTAGGACTTGTAGAATTATTGACAGTGTTTCCAGGAGGTAAGATTAACTGAGAATCGTGAGATTGGTTTTGTTGATTGTATTAGTCAACATCCATATTATTTTGTGCATTTGATGAGGTAATGAGTTGAAGGTAGAATGAGAATGAATATTCAGACATAGACCTTTTTTCTTGGCAAACTTTGGACAGCCTGAGATTGCTAAAATCATGCTATATAGAGACTGATCTATGTCATGTGATTTTTCTTGGATTTAATATGAAAAAAAGATCATGCTATTCACTTATAAAACGACACTAAACTACAATCATTTCACGTGAACGACGTAGTACTGAGAGATTGTTTTATTAATTGTTACTTTTGCAAAGCTGACACTAAGATTACAATTGAAGACAAACTCTTTGTTTTTCGGGATTCGCATATTCCAGATTTGTAATGTGATATTGTCAGGCTCATTAATTTTGAAGACACGATTGAATGGATAATACTCGTTCTTCAACTATTCATCAAATAATTAATTAGAACAATAAGCCTTTCTGACAACAGAGAGAAAAGATAATGGATCATACCATGATATATTTTGTAATTTTTATAGTTTGTTTAATCTGGGAAGGCTTTGTTGGAAGTTGGAATTTTTGGCCAAAAATAAAAAAAACCCCCACCAAAATTCAGTTCAGCAAGAACTTTTTCTAGTTTATCGAGAAATTCCTTTTCTAATTTACTTTCTAATTTATCAAAAATTTTACCATATTCTATAAGATATTTACGAATAGGTTGCCCTCCAGGGAAGATTACGTAAAATTCATTGATTAAGTCCTCTATTAACATTCGTCCATTAAACCCCGGCAAACTGCATAACGAAAAATTTACCAGTCCTGCTTATTCATTGTTCCATTCAAGTCTGACAAGCCATTTAAAATCGATTGGTTAACCCTGCCAGACCGATATCGACCGGAAATTGTTTTTGCATAGCAGTTGATGCTAAAAAACGCACATAAGGACTTGCTTGAAGGCAAAATGCCTCTCCTATTAAACATAAATATGTAAATAATTAAGATAAAAGCTGAAGATTATGCTTGATTTACAATTTTGTCTTATTTCGAGTCCCTTGTTCAGTCCGTTGACGAGGCCGCCTATTTCTGTGTGACTATTGCCATCTGTCGTGCCAGCTATTGCGGGAGAACAGTCAATAATCGGCACTAGGAATTTCGAACGGAGCGTGGCTATAGTTAATTCAAATAGACAGTTAGTGACCTTTAAAACACTAGACTTTTACAATTCCGACTTTACTATGTCGATATCCTAGATAAATTAATTGTCCTATCATGGGATTAGCCGATAGTCTTCCGGCGGAGTATCTCACGCGTTTCAATAAGTAACAACTAATTATCGTAAATACCACTTGGATAATCCCAAGACAAGAGGCGATTATCCTTCGTCGATAGGGATTAGTGGTTGCAATAACTACATCGAATAATTAAGGGGAGCATATATAATATCAATTGTATATATTCAGAGTAAATGCGATACTCGTTTATTGACAAGGATAAGAATAAAGATTTAAAGACTATGAACACACCGACACTAGCTGAAACTTGCGCTGCTTTATGTCTTTCGATCGGACTAATAAATCTATTTTAGCGGCGCTTACTAATTATTCCATCTTCAGAAAGCTCTGGAACTTTGAGCAAGTCTTCATAGTTTCTTGTGTCATAAAATGTCTAAATCAAGCTCTCATATGAGCTGGAAGATCAATGAGCCTGAGGTATCAATCATAAGACAGCTTTTTCAATGGGTGTCAGTTTTTTTCTTCTGTTTACATCTTTCTGAATATTCAGACACATTCATCATAAAGGTGTCTTCAACAGTTTTTCCTGAATGCAGACTCCAGTTTCTAGAGGAAGAATTGAAAATCTTACAGTAGTTCCGTTTTTACAAACGATGTAGAAAGGTCTTATGTATTTTATTTTATCTGAATCAGAAGTATTTTCTTTCGTCTTCCATTAATAATGGATTATCATTATCACTTTCTCCGATGGTGTAAGGTTTTTGGAGTTGGTTAAGCTGTATCAAAATGTAAGGGCATACTGGTTGGGGCTTTTTTCAACAAAAAACTGATAATCTTACCTTTTTTATCACGTGGTTACCGCTCCAGTGCAAATATTAATATGCTGGAGTTGTTTTCCTTACGTTTTGTTTCTTTGTTGGTTCATAATGAGCTGGGGTTAAGGTTTGTTTATGGTTTATTATTTTTCTTACTTCTTGATAAATCTCATATCAGGTGTGATAATTCATTCTTGAAATTCAAGTAATAAATTTTTATCAGTATATTTAGGAAGAATAGATACAGGAGAGACATCATTGTACATACTGATATATTATTAGTAACATTCTCTGCAGGACCTTGAAATATTTGAATTTGAAATATCTGAGTATTTATAGTGGCCCCATAAAAGTACTTTGTGCTGACACAATCTATATAAGAATGGCTAAGAAAATAAATCCAAGAGTTATACAATAAATTGCTACCACTTACATTCCCAAAAACCAGTTCAATATTCGCTTTTTTTGTATACAATAGACTCAATTATTCTCCAAAAGGCATCAATATTCTCAAAGTTAGCACGATGGTCTTTTATTTATCCAAGAAATAACATTAGTATTACTGTTGGGGCAAAAAACACTATAGCTAAATTCCTTGAGTTGATTGATTGTTCTCCCGCGATTGTTGACTCGACAATGGGTTGGATTCAAAATGCATTTAAAATCAGAAGCTTCCCGGCTATTGCTACATCTACAATAAGAGCAATTTAACAATGGATTGATAAGGCATACGTAAAGAACAAGCTAATAATAATAAATTTGAAGAAATTAAGGTTGACAATGGTAAGATAATATAACAAAATAGTGTAATATACAGTAAGTTGCACCAGAGTAACCAAAGCATAGTAATAGGGATATTCATGGTCTGAGTATTTTCTCCTTAATACTTTATTATTTATATCTTCAAGAGCGACAATCGCATTTTAATAATAAAAAAATTATGAGCGAGTTATCGTTATGTTATTTGCTCATTACTTGCTCATAGACTGTGATCTTTATTACGCTATCATACAATACAGACCCAAAGTAGATCGTGATTGCTTTAATATTGGGGCAGAATAGGAATATAAGTGGACAGCTTGTGGCTTTCAGTGGGTTTAAACTCTGAATTTTTCTAATGATTATTATTATGTTCACTTTGCTCTATTCATTAGACAAACTCGACATAGTACCCCAACTCAATCTAATTGCGATAGAATTATCCACTACTTTAGTAAAATCACTGCCCAATTTCATTTCAGCCCAGTCTTGCTTCTTCAAGAAGAGCTAAAAGGCATGCAACTAAATATTAAATTATAATTTTTTTTTGTAGTTATTATTATGTTTAAATACTTGCCCCCGATGAATATTTTGTTCTAAATGGTGGTTAAGGACTTAACTAAAATGATATTAAACATCTTTCTTCATGTACACAGTCAGTCTCGATAAGCCGGCCAACGAGTTATCGAGACTCACGTGATAAAAAATATTTAATTAAAAAATATTCCTGTAGACTTGCTTGTCTTAGAGAATCGACATGTTCATTTCTTTAATTCGTATGATCTCCTGACATGTTTATTTCTTTAATCGTATGATTTAATGACATATTTACTGTTTTAATCGTATGATTCAATGACATGATATTGCTCTAATCGTATGATTCAATGACATGATATTGCTCTAATCGTATCTAATCTATGGCATGTTTCAATGACGTATTGTGGTTGAATCGTATGATTGTAATGCCATAACGAATTTTATACTGGATAATTATTACCGTACGATTTGTGATCAACCAGTTAAAATTGAAGGAAATAGTGTCACGTATTACAAATATCACGTGTACCGGCTTATCGAGTATAGGTAATCTTCGACTATTTAGGTGAATTAAAGGGTTATTGTAATGCCTTATCGATAAGCAAGCATTTTAAGTCGAAACAACATTGGTTCAAACTAACCACGAGATTTTTGTAAGCCTTATCGAGAGGATGTGACGTTTAAAATTTAAAGAATCCGGACAACAACCAAAACAGTAATAGTTGTAAACCATAAATATCAAGCCGAACATCCAACATGCTTGCATTTTTTAATAATGGAGGATGCAGAAAAGATCCCATTGGAAGGTTTGTCAATTATTCGGAAGTAGTCAAGTACAATTTATAAGAAAAGAAACGATTGGTTTGGTATTTCGAAATTAGTAATATTAACAATTTGCAAAAGTCATGATATCGCTCGCGCATGAACCTTTTAGCAAAACAGTTTCGTGTTTGTGTACCCGCAATTACCTGATGACGTCACGAGCCGCAAGTTCTTTTCCCCAGAGCTCGCTCGGTCTCCCACAAAACAGTAACTCAACAAAAATCACATTATACAATGGAAATATTAATACCTTTGTTTCTTTTATCAGCCGTAATGTTTGCGGGATCCTTTCTTGCAGGAAGTATTCCGTTATTTTTCCAGTTGTCTGAAGAACGCTTGAGGATTACCTCAGCTCTTGGCATTGGATTACTCGTGGGAACGAGTCTAGTTGTTATTATTCCTGAGGGTATAGAAACACTGTACAGTATAGAATTTTCAAAGGACACACTGAATAGAGAAATATCACCTCATCTAGCTGAATATCCAAATGCTCCAACGCCAGCGGATTCTTCCGACGAGACAACAACTAATTCCATGAAACGACGTGACGACCTTGGCTTTGACGCTGACGACGAGAATGCATCTCTGTTGTCCCCTCCTCCGAATCATTCTCACGAAAACTCGTCTCACCGTTATGTTGGCCTATCCTTGATCTTTGGATTCGTCCTAATGTTCCTCATCGATCAAATCGGCGCTCCTCACTCTCACGTTTATACTTCTGAATTTCCCGACCCAGCTTCTCCCGAGCATTTGGATATGTCATCCGAATTAGAAACTCCAAAACGCAAGTTGTCATCAATAACAATTGGTCTAGTCATTCATGCAGCAGCAGATGGCATTGCCCTGGGTGCATCGGCAAATCAACCAAAGCTGGAGCTGATAGTCTTCCTCGCAATCATGCTTCACAAAGCACCATCTGCCTTTGGTTTATGTGCTGTGCTGCTCCGCGAAGGACTTGGTCGTCGACAAATTAGGAGACGCGTAGCAATATTTTCGGCATCTGCTCCGACTACAGCAATACTGACATATATTTTACTAGGAAACATAGGAGGAGATATGGGGACGACAAAAGCACTGTGGTGGACTGCGGTGTTGTTGCTTTTTTCTGGTGGAACGTTTTTATATGTTGCTATGCATGTGATGAAGGATTTAAATGGTTCGGAGAGAGGACATACGAGTAAACTGCCAGGGAGAGTTGTTACGGCGGTTGTCATAGGAATGTTTTCCCCGATTTTACTAGAGTTTGGGCATTTATAGGACGAGTTTGTAATATATTCGTGATTTTTAATCAAAGTTTATTAGAAAAGTTTTGTAGTTAATGATAATGATATGTCTTACTGTGATGTGTAATAACTCTTTGCTATCATAACTTTCTCATCAAATTGCTCTGCAATTTATGAAATCGATATACCTGTAAAAAGGCAAATGCTGTGTAATGAAAGCGGATATTCCGGATTAGCGGAAGGGTTGTTTGTATGTATAACAGATGAGTTTAACCAGAACAGAGTGATGGATCTTGGGACTTTATACATATATAACCGAGTAGACTAAGTATTTCGTTGAGAACACATAATTGTACTCACGATTGTGCGCCATCATTTGGACTTTTTCCTTTCCGTTCAGCAGACTAGAACGTTTTCGCAGACAAGATCGAATCGGATTGATTTAAATTCAAAAGATTATTCCACATATGCATAATGCGGAACTAGTGAAGAGAATGATGTATTACCATCTAGCTTACCTTGATAATACACAACGCGACATGTTTTGTCAAAGCGAGTAGTTTACTCAAGTAATTCGCTGCATGGATTTATTACAAAAGCCACTGGAAAACTAATCTGGAAGCTGTAAATCATCTGTTGGGAGGATGCTCAGTCAAGATTAAATTTCATTTGTTCATGCGAATTTGTGTAAAATACGCGCGAGTGTTCTGATGCATGACCAATTTAATCACGGACTGATATCTCTGATGGTATCTGTTAATAAAACCTTGCAATAATCGTCTGAGCTTTCGGCACCTCATCAACTATGTCAAAAATAACTTGTGCATTTTAATTTTGAATCAAAGGTCGGGCAACATGATCGGTTTTTTCGTCATTACAATTTATGGCGATGCTAATCCTAAAAAAAACCCTCCCCCACAAGCGACTCTCGATAATGAAGTGGTCGGGCCCAATAAAAAAATTTTTTTTCGTATATCGACAATTTCTTACGTGGCATATCAAAATTTCTATTTACAATAATTCTCGTCTCTGGAGTTTTTGGTCCTGTCTTTCTTAAAACGCCATATCGTTTGAATATAGGCTTCACATTCCTTAATTCCGTTATTTGGTTAATAAAAAGGCAATATTCGATGCTGGCGTTTGTAGCACCGTCTTTGAAAAACCAATAATTGACCACTTTAAGAGTGGTTTCTCTCATGCGTCCTCTTTTCAGTATTAATTATAAAATTTCGACGCGTTTTTTTAGGATTTTTATATTTGTTCTCAATGGCTCCTAGTGAATGGGTCCAGTTAACAATCGTAAACAATAATTCTAATTTAATTTCACTACCGTTTGTATTATTTTATTTGACATGAATATTATGATTTTAACACACCCGGAGTTAAAATTTAGCCCATAAGAAGCCCATTATAAATAAGATTTTGGAACTACGGGCGGAAAAGAATTTGTCGTGCGTGTTAATAAATCCAATTAACAGTTTGCTATTATTAAAAAGGTTAACTAATTTCTGTTATGCATTGACTGTGGCTATAGACATTAGCTTTCAGTGTATTTATAATACGTCTGCACAATCCAGATCTAAAATAGCCACTTGTACAAAACAATTGTTTATTATTAAATGCACGTCAATAATTGATGTCATGTGATTGTGTGTAATTTTGAATGATAGAATTTGCTGTTCCATGTGCTCCGAAAATAAAAGTTATGTGATTTGCGCCACAGACAATCTTTTCAAGAAATCAATATCGGGTGGTCAGAAAAATACGGAATATGAGTGGACTGCGGATATCAGTATGACGTCCAGTAGTGTTGACGCTCTCATGATTGTGCATGGCAGATCAAAATAATTGATGGACGCATCTTGATAATCGTGCTATTAGTCACATCTTCAGATACGATTTTGACGTCAGAGGAACATGATCTAATATACAAGGTAAAATTTTGTCTCGTGAATTTACATGACTTATCTGACAACATGAAGCAAGGCTGCGTATCTGAAAACATTCTACCCTGCCACCTTACTCCTTGCAACGCCAACATTTCCATAGAAAATTTTTCATCAAATCTTGTAAATGATAAATCTAATATGCATCTATGACTCCATTCTGCATCCTGCCGTACATCTGCAGGTAAATACAAGGTTGCAAACCCGAAAAAGTTTCGATCCGATTTCTGCCAATGAATGAATGACGGAATAACAACTATTACATTCACACAGATCAGATTAAAATTTGTCATGGTACGATTATGTTTCTGATATAATAATTGCATATCAGATTGAACTTGATAGCATTAGCCTCAATAGTTTAACCTCAGCCAATGATAATTGCATATCAGATTGAACTTGATAGCATTAGCCTCAGTGGTTTAACCTCAGCCAATGATTACCTGATTTACGTACACAGAAACCTCCAACCCTTGTAAATCACAAACCTATTCCGTGATTCGTTGTATCCGTATAATGAATCCCTTGTCTTAATTAAGACTTTGAACTTGAATTATTGCGTGGCAATAACACTGCATCGAATCGTAACGCCATTGACGAGAACAAAAAAGACAATTCATACTGATTATGTCTACCATTATGACACCACATTTTTATTATTTACTATTACTATAGCAACATTATCGTTCATTGGGTCTGGTGGACAATATTAAGTACTATCTAATTTCGCATGATCTAGAATAAATTATTAAGTAAAGTAATTCCGATAATTCCGACAGCGAAACTTAGACTTTTTACTACACTTTCACTAGCACCTGAACTCTTATTATTGTCGCCACTGGAAGTAGAGTTTGAAGAAGAAGGCGATGATGAAGAAGAGGGAGATGATGGAGTTGTATCTTTTGGTGGATCAGTACCGACGGGTTTAATACTAAACTCGTCACTCTCGTCTAGTGGCTCTGGCGGCGCAGTTGAATTGGCAGCCGCAACTACCGGATATGCTTTGAGCACCCAATTATCCCCGATTGGTGTTATTGGTACAGCCCAATCATATTGTTTGTTGCTAACTGGGACAGACGCGACTATACCTTGCTCGCCAACAAATGTCGAGTTGCTGGGAGTTTTGTTCGATAGACGGATGCTGATGGCTTGCGGGACTGATGATGATAGTACGGAGAGAAATCATGTTAGTTAGTATTAGCAAGAGTATGAGGACGGAATTTCCATGTGATATTTTGACATCTTACCATCACCAGAATAATCCCATGTGACAGTGGTGGTAGCATTAGCGACAACATAGAACTGAGAATTAGGTTTTATGAATTTAAAGTCAGCTACAGCAGAGGCAGCTAATGCAGTAATGAATGTAGCGATGAGATTCAGGCGCATTGTGAAAAGTGGCTATGTTTCTTCGTTTTCAAACAGTGGACTTGAAGTATTTATATAATGCAGGTATTGGATATGCTTGCAGTTTCTGATTGGTTAATGGTTATTTGACATTACCAATTCGATGCGTTGAAGTCTGAAATCGGCTAGACGTTTGTGTTATTTTTAGGAAATTTCCAACGTAGTTCACTTCCGATTTGTTATCTCCGTGGGCCACGTGGATCGATGTTATACAAACTTAATGACTCACTTAATGCAACATTGTAAATAAGTAAAAAGGCGCATACGTTTCATTTTATTGGTAAACCCGAGACATTATATATTAGCACATTATTACATGAGACTAGTAGGGGGACATGTTCCACGAATAAGGTCAAGACGATATTTATTTGCTCTCAATGTCACCCCACCCGTTCATTTTGAGATTAGATAATAAAGTTAAGACACAAAGGCATCATAGTATATTGACATTTATTGATATCTTATTTAAGATTTCTTTGTGTGCACTGGCTATTTATTATCAATCTCTTTCCGTATACCGCCGCAATTGAAATACTACTCGCAATGACATACAATGGCTTGCAGATAGCAAACAATATATTAAAATGGTCACAATAATGGCAATTACAGTACACACTCCTGCATGGCTCGCTCATACTGCTTCATACTGATAAACTTAGTATCTGATATCACGTGAAATAAAACATCTTTCTTTTACTTGGCGCACAACTCAAACTCCGTTCTTACCATAAATTCGTCCATCAAAACTCAGACACTCCTTTCACCGCATACACTCAATCTCAATACCCAAATTATCTTATTTTACCTTCCTCTCTAATATATAATTCCCCTCATAATAAAAGAGAGCGAGTTCCTACTTTCCCATTAATTGTTGTAACCTTATCCGTATTTTCTAAACTATACCAACAATGTTAAAAGCTCCGACTTCCTTCCGAGCACGGACATTAAGTACCGAATCAAGAGACGGTTTAAACTCTGCGGCCGACACACACTCTACTGATGTAGCGCGGAGGCGAACACAAAAGAAAGACGAGAGCATCAGAAAGAGGACGGAACAAGAACTACTAAAGTTAAAACCAAGTAGACGGGGCAGAGACAAAACTCCTCCACCCAGGATAGGTGGCACAGTCGGTAACTTGCGGCCACTGGCTGCCATAATCCTCTCAGGTATGCAGAGTGCCGATATGTAAAACTGGACAATACGAATGCGTTTACCTAACAAAATCTTTAACTTTTCACAGAAAGCGAGACAGCTTATGATGCTGCGAGGTTTATGACTGTAAAAAGGTAAAGGCCATTCAACGTTTTCTCTTCATACCTATTCTACATTGCACACACAAATCTCATTGTCTTTTATGCTCACAGGGCGGACGCAGTGCTGGTGACTGATGTAAACGACCAACTCTCGGGTATAGTGACCGACAAGGATCTTGCTTTCCGAGTCATTGCGGAAGGTTTAGATCCTCATAATACATATCTCGGGGAGATCATGACAAGAAATCCATGTACAGTTACTACTTCACACAATGCCACTGATGCTTTGAATGAAATGGTCAATGGAGGGTTCAGGCATTTGGTGAGTGGGAAACGTTATTGTCTGAAAGGCGCTATAGTGTCAATGCATACGGAGAGATCATCAGATATTTCCGCTACTTCCACTCTCCGCTCGTAAACTATTTGATCTTATCTGATCCCCTCTTTTTCATTATTTTAACCTAGCCCGTAACTGATAGCCGCACCGAAAAAATAGTCGGAATGCTAGACATTACCGAATGTCTCCTAGATGCACTCGCAAAACTAGAACGGGCAAATCGGTCCACAAAACAGTTATCCGATGTCCTTGACACAATGTCGGACTTTGAAGCAACGCATAATCGCGAGGTTGCTTCTTACGTACGAGTGCTCCGCGAACAGTTGGGCTTTCCTCAATTGCAGTCTATTCTGGATCCTTCTAAATCGCAGGCCGAAGTCTCGATACGAACAAATGTTAGAGAAATAGCAAGAGTTATGAAGGAAAAGCATCAGACGGCAGTTCTTGTTCTTGATGAAGATGGTCGAACAGTTGGAATTTTTACGTCAAAGGATTTAGTCGTCAGGTAATATTGCGGTTAGATGGCTGCAAGTTTATGTTGGTTCGACCAAGCAAGGCACGCGTCTCGAGAGAATATCGGCGTTGTTTTTATTTGTTTGCATGTTGTTTATTCATTCATCCCTGTTCGATTATAGAGTTGTTGCCGGAAAATTAGAACCATCTACAACGTCAGCAGTGCGAGTAATGACGCCAAATCCAGATACGGCACCTCCAGAAACAACTATTCTCGATGCTCTCAGAACCATGCAAGGTATAAATCTATTTTTATTCGTTTGGTGATACTCTGGTTTCCTTCCCCATTCTCAACAATCTCTTATTTTCTTCACAGAGGGGCGTTATCAACATTTGCCTTTATTCGATAAAGCTAATGGCATTGTTGGAATAGTCGATATTCTACAATTAACTTATGCAACCCTAAGAACGGTAAATCCCAACCTCATTTTATCTTTAAACTCTTTAGAATATCTTCCGCATTCTAGTACTTTGCCTATTCCTTCGATTTCTGTTTGTGAACCTATGCTCACACCCCCTGATAGTCCTACTTCTGGGCAGCCTTTGATGCCTTTGAAGGATTGTAAACCGAGCAAAATTCCTATTCCTACAAATTCCAAAAGACCCCTTAATCCTTACAAAACATTTACTCGTAAAATTATCAAACTGTCTAATCCAAAACCTCCCCCTCCATCTTCACTCCCAACGCCTCCTTCGTCTTCTCCACGTACTTCCGAACCATGCTCACCAACGTTGGTTCCACAACTGGTCTCGACAACTACTCAGCTTCAACAAATGGAAGGACAAGAAGGCGACGGACCTGTCTGGAGTAAGTTCTGGAATGCTGTTTCCTTAGAAGATGCCTCATCGGAACGTACCCTTTCCGATCAACGAGTCCTATCATGTGGGTCTGGCGATATGCCATCGATAAAAGAAGTATCGAATAGAACCACGACCCCATCCTCTGAAGAGCATAAGCCAGAAAGTAGGCGATATTCGGTTATAACAAGTTCAAAAGTGGATGTATCAATTCCTGGTTCGATGATGTATAAATTTAAAGATCCGCAGACAGGACAAACGCATAGATTCGGCTCCACTTGCAGGGAGTATCGTGAGCTTTTGACGTTAATTAAACAGAAAATGACGCTAAAAACCGAGGCGGTTGTGTACGTGAGTTACGTTGATGACGAGAACGACAAGGTGGCGTTATCAAGTGATGAAGATCTTGCGAATGCTCTGCAATTGGCAAAACGGAGTCAATGGCTGTTGATTAGGCTAGACGTTAAAATGCCGGAGAAAATAATGCCAGAAAGGAGCCAAATACCTCGAAATAATGAAGACATAGCCAAGGATTATATGCTTATTTCTGGCGGATCATTTACTGTCGGCGTGGCTGTTGGAAGTATCTTGATGTGGGCGTTGAGAAGATAATATTGACTAGACAGGAAGAGGAGAGAAAAATTTCGGATGGTAGGAACTAATTTAGAATGATTTGGGTCTGCATTATAATTAGATTTAATGTATTATCGTTATATTACTACCGTAATATTTTGCACATAGTCTTACATTCTTTATGCCAATTCCAAGCGCTTTATATGCATATATTGTAAAGGACACTGACTGTCTTATTGACAGTTTTATTCATGTTTTATTCACCCTTCTCTTCAATGTCTTGCTTTTTAATTCTATACAAGCAGATAATAAGGCATACTTGTAGTGACTGACCGCCTTATTCATTCTCTATTCATTTTATTGTATAATTTTGTGAAGTTTTCTTGGACATTTTCGGTCACTACGTGTGTATACTTTTACATATCTAATAACTATTATGACATAAATGCTCACGCTGAACACATCTATCATTGCACATATTGACCACACTACCTTGTGAGTTTTCGCATGCGTGCAAGTTGGGTTTATATTTTTAATTCTGGGTAATTCTTGGGAAGTGTGCTGGGAGCCTGATATGGTTGATACAAGTTCCTCGGTATAAGGCGAGGGAATAGATCAAAACTATAGTCCTACCTCAGTTCCGTGTGGGATATAACCAAGGTACAGACAGCGTTTCAATAGATAATATTCATCCTATATTATTATCATTTGCTGTCGTAAGTCTCTTTGCTCTAAAACCTTCGTTATTGGCCTGAAATATCCACGCTGCCAATAATCATTGACACTACCAAACAAAGCACGATCAACATATTCTAGCACAGACGTGTATGACGAACCTTGATCCCTGTAAAATTTTAAACACCATCTCGCGATTTCGGCCATAAAGAATAAAAATTCATATTTTGACACTTTTCTAATCAAATTTCGTGATTCTTTTTTCATTTTGTTCGCTATGCGATATGGTGGTACTGATAAATATCATTCCGTCTGTTGCCAAGTATAATAACGATTTCCTTCCAATTCGACCACACACATCTGAATAAACACGTAGAGATTGAAAATTAAAAAAAGGGCACACAAATCGATATGGATTTGTGAAAAATTTTACAGGTGATCAGGGTTTGCCATACACAATACGCAGGGAAGTTTTCCTCATTCCTGTCCTGAACTGGAGCGGTCGAATGACAGCAATGCCAAAATTGTTCTTACAAACGATGCTGTTTGCTACATTAGTTAGTACCCCCTTTTTTTATTGAAAATCACCCAATATTAATATACTTAATTTATGTGCAGTTAACATGGGCGTGCATCTGCATAGTAATAGTGCGATATTAAGTAATATATTAAAAGATAGCAAAAATCATGACGATATGCGCTTTCTGGTAAGACTAAAAGGAGTATATGCAATGAGAAAGTCTGCACCAACGTGCAAACCACACATCAAAGAGGGTATTCTCCAAAAATCTTTATCACGGAGTTACTATTTTTAGCTCGGCCAGTACGGGTATTATTAATTAAATTTAAACAAAAGACAATTGTTAATAAGTACGTTTAATCATATATCGTCAGTCAATACGCAGTCCAATAGCTATAGTTGATAAGCTACAGTCGATCCCCCTAAATGCGTGTTATTCTGTGGTGTGACTGAATAATAAAGTGCACGTTCTATATTCTGCATGCAACGATCCCGGCTATTTGAAAATAATTCTCTAATACATACACGTGATTAAATTATAAGCAGATGTAGGCAACGTCTGTCTAGTCATAAATCAGACTAGTAAATCGTAGTTGGGATTATTATTACCGAACGTTGAACTTAATAAGACCATTAGCAGTTACAGTATATATGGTAAAATATACATGGCCATGAATGCAGTTTTTGACAGCTTGAATACTTATTTAATGATAAACTTTTTAGCACTCATAGATTTAAAACGAGCCAGTTGCAATTAAATGTATATTAACAGAACTACGGGGGGCCAAAAATAGTCGTAATTTAATTAATTTCATAAATTTTAAAAAAAAACTAAATTTGGACCACTTACTTCATTAGTTGTCTAAATGAAATATTAAGGGTTTATTTAATAATATAACGTGTCATTGTGAGTAGAAAAATAAACTCCATTTTTTTGCTTTGGCGCATAAATGAGTTTCTGTAGGGCTTATTCCGGTAAAAAAACTACTGTATTTCTTGACTAAAGTACCCCGGATATTTTACTATTTTTGTATAATACCCTGGGTACTTCATCAGGGACATATATGGATAAAGTTACTATGACAATGGGGTTATCCGTTCATAATACCCGGGTATAATGTTAATTATTTCGAAAATAGTACTAGTACCCGGGTCTTTTACAAAATCAGGCCTCAAAATTGCTTTGCTCGAGGGGGTACTTTAGTCAAGGAAACACGGTAACTGGTAAGATACTGTCGCACAACAGTTTCAACTAGTTTTCGCAGCCTACTACTAAAAACTTCGCAAATATAAAAGAATGAAATTCGCATCCGCGAAAACTATACCATAACTTGTTATTACCAAATTCAACCTGTGATTGCTGCAATAGAGGAATACTGAATATTGTCATTTACTTTAAATAAAATTTCTTTTTAAGTTTAAGCAAAAAATTGGGTTTTTTACCAATTTATTATTCTGTCCATTATGACACGTTATATTAAATAAACATTAATATTTCATTTAGACAACTAATGAAGTAAGTGGTCTAAGCTAGTTTTTTATTTCATATAAAAAATTTATGAAATTAATTAAATTACGACTGTGCAATACTTTTGCCCTCCCCCTATTAATCAATGAATGTACAGTATTACATAAAATGTAGCATCGACGATATGGTTATTGATGAAATAACCGGACCCGTATTACAGGCAGATTATTACATAAATGGCTATAGAAGACGTCTATTTTATTATGCTAACAATCCGTCAGTTTGTGTAATTTTGTTACGTCTATCTACAATATTAGCTAAACTGTTTAAACTCACTTCCTTCTACCTTTGGTCCAATCTGTCATAGAAATCGAAAGGAATAACAAATTCCTTTATTTTACGGAAAATTCCATAAACCTACAAATCTGCTGCAAGATTGTTTGATAATTTCATATAGAACAAAGAAAACATGAATAGCAGCCGTTTGTGTTCGAAGAAAATATATTATTGTTAGCCGATTGTCTTCCACCAGGGATGCATTTAAATTACTAATAACGCAATACAATTGTTCTGCTCCAGTTCTGTAAAACATTGCCGAGTAGTAATAATGATAGTAAATAATTTTAGAAATCGAAAAATTCTATATTACAATGCTTCTATTTTCTTTCTGCAAAAATAGAAAGATAGAAAAACCAAGTAAAATAAAACAACACATTGTCCTTTCGTCAAGAGATGATACATCTGTTTGACGGAATATAAAAATTGAAACTATAATAAATTCTATTATCAGTATTTGTTGCAACAGAAGCTTTGCATTCTGCCTGTCTTAACAACACATGCCTTAGAAAAACTTATATAAAATTGCTTGCCCATTTATTCTTGGTTGGATTATTTATCTTGACTATAGCTTGTAGTAAGATGAGTAGTCGAGTCTGTAAGTTGAGTAGACTCGACATCAGGATTTTTAACCGAATATGTGAGCTCAGCGTTCGTGGGTTCAGTCTTGCCACGTAAACGAGCCCAAAACCTCGCAATTCGTTTACGCGAACGATGTATAATAATTAGTACTGCAATCAATGCGGTTACTGCTGCTATAATTGCAGATATTAATGGCTTCAATGGTGAGCTATGATCGATTATAGGATCAACTCTGTCTGAAGCGTATACGCTAATGGCCTCGGGTCCTCCACAAATTGTCGAGCTATTTCCTGCACAACTGGAACTACACTCTTCGGGACGTAGCAGATCCGTAGATTCATAGTTATTTATACAAATGCAACGAGTTCCTGACTCGAGCCCCGCGTCTTGGAAACCATGGCCTCTGCAAAATGTTGTGCAAGTCTCTATTTTCATGTCAAAGGTCTCTTGCATTAAGGTTTCTCGGTGGCAGATAAGACTATCTGGAATACAGCCTTTATACGATATGTCATTGTTGAGATCACGAATAACATTGATTTTTTCGTCGATACTTATTTTTGTTACTTTGACGGTTGGTAATTCGGCGGTAACATTGCCGTAAACTGTATAAGCTTCTTGCCCTCCGCATGCACTTGTATTATTACCAATACATGTTGTATTGCATTGGGAGTTGTCGACTAGTTTGTATGATTTCAATCCATCGTCTTTTCCACATCTACATTCTTCGCCCCGTCTAAGAGCTGCAAACGTGAAAAGATAATTAGCACAATGAGCGACACATAATCCTTCATCCATGAGTAAACCGTCTCTATCCAACACGTAAGGGTCAGAGAAACTAAAATCAGGCCGACTCAGGGAAGAAAGGCCATTTAAAGAGTCAGGCATAGTTCTGTTTAGAACATAACATCCTAACGGTTTATTTTTAGGCTGAAAGCTTGGAGCCCTGTTGTCTACACATAGTTGGGCCATCGCCAAACTAGATATGCAAAGGAGAGTCAAGAGGGATTTCATGTTGGGAGTGGTATTAATTAATGAGTGTTGTAGTAACAAAAAAAAAAAGGAATGTGGGCAGGGCAGAGTCTAGACAGTCGGACCTTATATTTATGTATTACGGTTATAAAGTGCTAATTTAGAAGCATTAGGGAAATAACACCTTTTTTGGTATAAATACAGATATGCAAACTTAAGTCAATGGCGTACAGTTACAACTGTCCATGCGCAATCTTACGGCGAAGATTGAGGAGAGATTAATATATGCACATACAATTAACACGCCATTTTCCATCACAAATAAACAGCATTTTTCATCACAATTAAACAGAATCTTTCATCACAATTAAACAGAATCTTTCATCACAATTAAACAGAATCTTTCATCTACGTTTGTGACTCTTCTCATTAGTACATCAGAGAAATCGTCAGAGCGAAACATACTAATAATTAACTGTAATTTAACATTGACAGGATAAACAACAACGGGAGATTGATCAAAATTGGAAGGTTATACGACTTGCATTCATCGGAAGATCTTCGTGTGTTCATGTTAGTAAACTTAACCAAAAGTATCCAGATGGTTGGGTCATTTGTCCAAATCAACGTATGTGTTTCAGTCTTACCATGTCGGGGTATCTTAATATACAACATATGAGAAATAATAAATGTGTAGAGTTGATGTTTCAACGTATATTGACAACGTGACATCTATTTATAATACAAGACCTTGTTTGTACTCACCGATAGTAACTAATAATTGGTAATGTATGCGTAGTCTCTAGCGGCATGTTTTATTTCGAATATTGGATTTAATTAATCGTATTTTTTCGATCGTGACGACTTTGATACCTGTTCGCACATGCAATAGCTTATCAACAAACACGATGGACAAACAAAGTCTCCACCTTGTGAATAAAATAAACTAATTAAGCGTAAAATAGTACGAGCATTGTGAAAACGTGTCAAAACAGGCATTGGCAAGTGGATTTTTTATGACAAGCTCGGCTTTTTACTAAATGCGAAAGACCCGTGTATTATCGACGACCGCCCAGAACGACTAGTAATTCATTTATACTAGCATGACAGTGAAGGTCACATGTCATCTAGAAAATGTGTGTCAATCGACGCCAAATTCTAACATCACATTGTTATCCGGTTCGGAATAAGGGACATATTATTATTATCATCGACTATTACTATTATCGATTTGGGTCGGAAATGATTGAATGCTGTAATGCTGTGCAACATAAACCTGGAATTGTTTCCTTTCAGCCTTATTATAATAAACTCTTGTTATAGTTGATTCGCTTATATTATCATGCATAATTTTTTGACAGAACATTTCAATCGCGGTACGAGCACTTTTCTTGTAAACAAAGTAATGCATTCAATAGTACGGTTGCAATTCAATCGATTGTAATAAAGTGGTACTAGTAATTAGTAAATTTTAAGACAATGCTTTTGATTAATTAATAATTTTTAATTCTGACTTTGTGCCTGAAGGTATCGGGAAGGGTACCTTAAAGAAAAATGGGGAACGCCAAATTTGTGGCGCTCAGCAATTTTTGAACTTTAAATTCTTCTATGGCGCTATTATTATTGACGAGGTGGCTAATGATAATTGTATGCGTTTGTCTAGCATAACGAAGATTATTATTTAAACGGCAGAAAAGATCAAACACGATAAATATGTTGGGACTAGTGATATAATTTATAGTCAACAAATTATATACGAAATGTGTCCAATTAAAATTGTGGCTAAACAGGTTCGAACCCTGAAAAGGTACTGTGGCGTTATGATCAGCTTGAATTTCCGTCTGCAAAAAATGTTTCCAGCTATTATAAGTTATCGTCATGCCTGTTCCATTCGAAGCACTCATTCCATTAGGTGACGTTACGAGACTATCAAATTAAGACTATCAAGAGCACATAAATTGACACATAACTCTATGCAATATCGTTTTCAATAATATCAGGCATTGTATCTGCCATGTTCGCTGTGACAGGCAGTTTACTAACTCTATCAAAGACACATCTTAGAAATGAAGGAAAGGTAATATGGAAAATCTGACTCTGAGGGCGGGTGAATTGTTTTAGAAATTGCAGACAGTTACGAGAGAAGCCTTAAGACAGAGAGGTAAGGAACTCGAGTCAAGAATTGGTTATATGAAATGGAAAGGGAGAGACATATTTGAGTTAAGTTTTTGTTGAGCGCGTATACATTATAAAGTAATTGAATGACGTTGCTAACATTCGTACATTGGGGGGTTTTTTTTGCTGTTAGGTTGATGCGTAATATGTACAGATCATTTGTGGCAGGCAATTCAGCGATTAGGAATCTTGTAGTAAAGACCGTCTTACTCATAATTCTCTTCAATACTTTTCTTCATCCTGCACGCCAACACCGATCCTTCTTAGCCGCCACGTTTTGCTCGAGATTATTGGGACAAGCAAATGATGGAACGTGATTCCCGACTAACGGGGACTGTTCGTGGACAAACCGTTAGTGAATTTGATTCAAATGTCTTTTTTCCCTTTGTTTGATTATCTCTTTTAACTGTGTTGTTTCTTATACGCCCCATTCCCATCAGTCAAATCCGGTAGCTCCGCCAGAATTTGCAACAAGCAGTATTTGGTATGTCGGATCAAGGAAAATTCGATGATCCTACGTGTGTGGTTCCAATAGTCAACATGGCCGTGAGAAGAATTAATGAACGAGAGCAAACGAAGATGATGAGTACGCGCTATTACATTCTTATTCCGTACTACACCACTTAGAATGCGTCTGATTTGACCAATAAAGAATCGCGTCCGCTTTTTTTTTGGCAAGAGATTAATTGTTGTGAGATATCAAATGCTTTCTTGCCGAATGCATAGCTTGTATCTTTGATGTACGTAAATCGATTACATCATAAACAAGCAGTGTCTAAGGCGATAGACTATATGTTGGAAAAGACAAGAGAGCAAGTGTTGCATCTCATCATAAATATCATCCCAATTACACGATTTTCAGAACATGCATCAAGTTATTAGATCAACACGTGATTGTGGTGTTTAAATTAAAATATGTCAACAATAAATTCAATGCCATGATGTTGTCTCATAGTATTAGTACGTGGATTCCATCACTAACAATTGAGCGAGAATATGCCTATCGAGAAAGAATGTTCATCCACAGTAGACCATTATTGCAATGTTACAGCTTATGTACATCGTTCCACAAAATGTATTTAACTAGTTTACTAAACCACTGGTTTTTGTTTGTACCCTTCATTTCCTTCGCTTAATAAAATGAGTATACAAGTAACTGTTCATTGGGAGAAAAATCAAGTCGCCTGTTCCCTTGATATCTCTCAACCTCTTCCTACTATAATAAAGTCCTTATGCCTGGAACAGTTTGACATTCAAGAGCCGGCAGCTCTATACGCATTAAGACTGCTAGAGACTGAAGAACTCATCACGGAAGAGGTTTGAACTGTACAAATGATTTCGTACGATAGATTAATTTTTGAGATACACGTCCAGTTGAGAATAAAGCTTTGTTAGATATGGCTGACCGAATGTATCTGTCTCATGCTAATTTGTAGAATTTGAGGAGAAAAGTTACCGAGAATGAAAGATTGAAATTGGTTGCGTCGCCAATCATTGAAGCAGCTGAAGTGTGTGAGAAGCTAGGGTCTAACGACGAGAAGACGTTTAAGCTTACAACGTTCTCCCTTCAGAAGCTGATCAAGGTAGTGATCGATAATATTCGCACGAGTCGAATTTTCGGTGTCAGTCGTTTGAATTCAAAGATCGAGTCTTGATAATTCTCCTTTCCAACCTGTATAATGCGTCTGTTAGGAAGTAGAATTCTTTGACGAGTTTCTGAGAAGGGGAGGATTGCGCTCTCTTATCGAGATTATAAATACATCAAGTGGAAATACCCTTGCCTATGCGTTGACATCTATGCAGAATTTAATGGAACATGACCATGGCTGGGACGATCTCGACATACTCTTCATTAACAAGGTAGTTTTTAGTTTTCATATCCGTTTTTTATTCCCAAGCGCGATCTTGAGTTCATACTCACCATTTCCGCTCGATCTCAAAAAGGTTATCAAAATACTTGTCAAACAAACGCTCGTCAATATATGTCGTCCTGCAACCGCGATTATAATCAAACTTGTCACTGCTGACAAGAACTCGCTGAATTTTCCAATACGTTGTTATGGATTTGATGTGCTTCATGATGCGATCTTGTTACAACCTAATTTCCTGCCAACGTTGGTACAGCGCCTCGCGTCTGCTGATTATGTGCTACGCCTCAACAGTCTTTGCCTCATTAACGCTCTCATGAGACATGTTACTGATCAGTATTGGGAGTCGTTTATGGATATGTTAAATAAATTAAATGTTAGAAAAGCCGTGGCGGTATGTATAAAATCATGTTGTTTGAATTGGTATATCAAGTGTAAATTATCGAGCAGTTATTCATATTCGGTTTTCCTTTTCTGTATTCATTTGACGTTTATTTTAGCTCCTTATGAATGGTCATCCAAACGAGGAATTATCAAAACATCTTTTGGAATTTCAGTCATTGTGTGTTCGACAAGCTTATAGATGGAAGAGGACTCAAGTATCCCTCCACATTCCTTCACATAAAGCTACGTTAGAGGAATTATGGACAAACGCTAATTTGCCCGAAGACGGAGCGAAGTGGAGGAAAATAGGATTTGCTGTAAGTCGAAATAATCATAATGAAGATGAGAATAATGCGATTCTAGTGGCAGATTAAGACTAATATCAGCTTGCTAATATCCATTCACCCACTACAGACGGAGGCGCCTAAATGGGAAATACAACGTGTTGGTTATCTTGGTCTAGAGAATATGCATGGATTTATGAAGAAGGACACTGAATATTATCAAAAGGTGAAGAAAACACATGACATTAGAGAATCAAACATGCATTATGCATTAGTTAACAATTTACTGGTTTTTAGACAATTCTAGAGCAAATCAATCGACCGGCCGAAAGAAGATGTCCATTTGCCCGAACCTCAATTGAGGTCACGGAATTATTATGTGATTATTGGGACATCAGTACTGGATGTAAGTTAGGAGTTGAGAAAGTTGACAAACATTCGAACCTCAAAATTTACTAAAATATTCATTATTTTTTAAAATCGCGCTTTCCGAATCCAGACACAACCTCCACTTCATTTCAACCATTACTGCTCTCGTTCAGTAAGATACACTACATTACTGTCAAGGCTTTCTTTCGTATGTGGCACGAGATGGAAGCTACTGTAGATGACTTCCCAAAGGTATCTGCTCTCGTGAGGAGTCAATTGAAATTCGCATTACGTGATGAGGCATCGAAGCAGCTTTACGAATTTGAGAAGGATATGTTAGAAGTAGAATATAAAGTAATTAGAGATAGACAACTGAAGGAACTAGAGCTTGGTGATGACTTGTTGAGTAAGACGCCTGTTAGGTATGTATGATGAAGAATACTGGGATAAAAAGGACAAGGAGAATAAATGGGTTGTTGTAGCTGGTTTGATTCCGTTTATTCCATATCCTAACCGCTTTTTTTTTCTTTTTTTTTCTTCTTTTTTTAGAAATCTCCGTAGTAGACTGTATGCAGAATCATACGAAATCGTAAAACAGCAAAGAATAAAATGTCTCCTCCGTGGTGCATGGTTTCCCATATCATCTCCTGCTACGAATACTCAACCTCAACAAACTATGGGTCGTAGAATTTATTCAAATAAGAAATGGAGATTTTATCGTTTGAGTCCTAACCGAAAATTCTTACATTATGGCGATTTTATGGAAAAGGTCGAGTTAAGAGATGGAGTCGAGGATTTAATGGAGAGAAGTAAGTGGAACAAAATTCTGTTTTCTTCCAGGCTAATATGTTAACTAATGCTTTTATCTTAATTCATTTATTCATTCCTTGCCAAACCCCACCCCGCAAATATTGTTAGTCGATTTAAGCCTTGTAACAGATGTAATAACCGGACAATCTTCCCAACAAGCTACGCTTTCTTCTTCTCCTCCACGCGCAAAGGCCCATCGCTCCTCACAGGATCTCTCCTTTTCTCTTACATCAGGCCCCGACACATCTCTTGCTGACTTTGTTGCCTCAGATCCGATACAGTATTCGGAATGGACTGACGGGTTTAACATGCTGTTTGACAAAAATATTCGATCAAATGATACCGCAGAGCATATTCATGTGTTGACTGAGATTGGAGTTAAAGTAAAGTTGTTGGATTTGAGCGGGGAACGCGTAGAGATACCGCAAAGTGTTGATGTGCCGTCCGAGCTGCCATTAGTTGCGGGAGGATTTTTTTACGATGACCTGTTTGCTTGAATATTTGGGAATTGAGAACGTGTGTGAGACGTTGATGGGATATTGGCTAATGTACTGTACATTTGATTTGAGAAAATAATAATTTATAACGGCGATATTGACTAATCTGGCTGGAGACGTATCACGTTTCTTGGATGTCTTTTCTTTACATTAGAGACATCTGATTCAATAATTCTTAGACTTATTTACTAGAAATTTACCTTTAATTTGTTCATTATTTTTATTTATTTAAGCATTCCCAATTCATTATAATGCAATATAATAAATCGTCTTCACCAAAAGATAGTAAGAGGATTGTTTCTTTAATTTGAAATTTGTTATTCCCACTCTACAACATAAATTACTTGTAATGTCTATTATTAAGAGCTTCGTTAATCACTTCCTTGATTTTTTATCCTCAACGAATTCAATGTTATCTTCTGGAACCTGTAGATCATAATCATGGTTACAAATAAGCACAGAGCATACAACTTGATTCTTGTGGCAAATTTCCTTCATTCGCAAGGACGCAAAAATCTTCAACTTACATTCTTCCACGTCGCCGGGATGAATTCTTCTAAATCGTCACTAACATCTCCCTGGACAACTATCTCATCGTTTCCTTGATTGTTTTTTACTACTGACGAGCCACATGCAAACTTATTGGCAAACGTCTTTGCTGCCTTCTTTAGATCAATGTCTGTTTGAATGGAAATCAAGTAAGAAAGTGGGCAAATGCCAGAAATGCCTGTTCATATTGCTTGTTGTAATAGCTTGCTGCTTACCAAAATTCTCAAGTCCATAAACACTCGTAACACATTTCCGTTTATTTCGTGCGATACGGGTAATAACCACTTTCGAAGCCTGTTGATCCGTTATTTTCGGGATTTATAAATACTATTTCTCAATATCGACAGGAGAGGGGCTACTTAAAATCGAATCATGTAATTCTCACCCTTTTCTTCTCTAGTTCGCGTTCTATCTTTGCTGCTTCTATTATCATTGATAAGCACTTGAGCAGACACGCCACCATAATGCAATGTTTTAACAATCAAACTTGCAACTAACCTCTGGCTTTCTTTCTATCTTCAACGTCAGTAGTCTGATTGTCTTCTAATGATGTACTGGCCATTTGGTCTTCGAGAGCTTGGAGATGTACCATTTCAGTCTTAAGCACAATGTGCATAATTCATAATTGGAAATACATTAAACATACTTTGTGTATATAAATTCTCATACATATCAGAATGGTTTGCCTTTAACCAAGCCTTGCATTTTTCTATCTGTGGGCCAAATTCACAGTACTGATTAAAAAACATAATACATGAGGATTAGCAGGGTATAATGATACATGAAATAAGCGGACTTGTGCATCATTTTACCTCTGGGGGCAGGGTGCAGACTGTTGTGAAAGAATAATGTAATAATTGCTGTTAGCGAGCATTGGCTTTGATAACAGTTAACTTCGACTGGATTGCCGCAGATAGGCCAAATCACATACAAGATTTCTTTAACACATACCCTCACAATATATTATCTGCTTTGCTGTTGTAGTAGTAGTAGTAGTAGTTGTTGTTGTTATAGTCGACATGATTTGCAACCAGTTGTTGTTAAACCGTGTATCAATCCATTGAATTTTTTTTTATTAATCATTTTTTTAATGTGATTCTTGGCATACTGATTGGACATCACGCAGATGACATGCCCATGGCGTACTTTGTAACAAATAACAGTAAATAATGTCATAATTCTGGCAAGAACTAGAGAACAATCTATCAATGAGTTGCTAGCGAATGTAGGCTAAAGTATTGGATCACACACAACGATGATCGAATGAAATTTTGCATAAACTTCAAACACCGTCATAGACACAAAAATTTTGAAAGAGATCAGACCGTATCTGCTGCTCCTCACTCTCCAGAGGTGATAGGAAATAGAATTAACTTGACTTCCTATGCTTGTTGTTAAAGATATCTTTATAGAAAAAGCATGATCTATGTTCTAATTATAAGTATATCATGCAATGTGTAAGATTTATTGATTTCGTATCTTCTACCAGAATCAGGCAGAGATCCGAAAGCGCAAACTTACTATGACCAAATAATTCCTAATATTCGCAGCAACCGTGGAAAAAATATTCTTTATTTGCAAGAAGAATCACAAACGAACTGCAACACTATATGCTTCTCTCTACGGTTAAACAGTTCATCAGTCTGTGTTAGTCTTACAAGAAACGCTGTACATATCTCCAAGTCTCGTAATTTCGCAAAACATGTATGTCCGGAAGCAAAATTACTTAATTCCTTTTGCATTTCATATAAACGTATATAAAATAACAGCAATGGATTTTAAACAACCTCTTATCTGGATGCCAAACAGACGGTGGATGTCTTGATAGATGTGTCGTGAACGTATTTGCATGAGTTGAAAACATTGCACCCACCGAATACCGTCAACAATAAGCCCTATCGTGAAGATGAGTATATTGTTTGGGATATAGTGGTTGGGTTAGGGAATGTTGATAACCATGTCACTTATGATGTAAACTAAACACTATCTGTGATCTGGGCTGGCGATATATGAATCACAACTTCTTGAGCATAGTACATTTGCATTGATACCTAAAAAGCATCCGTGATCTCTGTGGAGGAGGTAAACTGTCGCCAATACGTTAGTATTAAACGGTAAAGGAAAAACAAATTTAGCAAATCATGCTTATTTGGAATGGATTCATTCAGATAGTCAAGCGCTGACAGCGTATGCCTTGCTTGGGCAACACGTTCAGTCTAGCAAAGTCAACTTATATATTTACTCAAAATATGCCAGCTCACTTTAGAAGAATAACATAAACCATCCCGAAATCACTGTCCACTAGTTTTTCTTACTGTATGGGCGAACTGCTCCTACAATGTTTAGATCAGTTAAAGCATTAAGCACCGTACTTACTTTAAGCACATACTCACTTTAAGCACCATAGTATTAGAGAGCAAGAATTAAATTGGCTTTTTACCAATAGCTAGTTTCCTTATCTACAGGTTTTTCAAGTCTATTTCTTAATGTACTAGACCGCTGATGCCTGTGGCATCATTTTTATTAATTAGTAACAGCGTTTTAGTGTCAAACGTAGGTGTGATTAATAAAAAGATGTAAAACGCGAAACGCCTGGTGGTAGAGCAGCTCCCGGTGGAGGTGGCCCGATCGGTGAAGTTGGTCCACCGGGAGGATACGGCCCTGGTGGATGAGTTCCCGGAGGAGGAGGCATTGGTCCGGAGTAATGGCCAGGCGGTGCTCCAACTGGTGGTCTCATGTATGGCGGTTGTGGTAGACCGCCAAATGGTTGCGTTAACGACGTTGGAGACATTCCTGGACCTGAAGATGCTTGTGCTGCTAATGGCGGACGCATCATCGATGGATGTCCTACACCAGGCGGGGCACCAGTTGCTCCATGCGCAGCTGTTCCATGATGTTGTGATCTTCCAAGCATAAGCGGTGGTGCACCAAACGGTGGAGCTGGTGGATTTGATGTAGCTGGGGGGTGCGGAGCACCTGGAGCATATCCGTATTGTGCAGGAAAACCTGATTGACCTACTCGCTCATACGCTCTTGTGATTTCATCAATAATAGCTTGCGCTTTATCCTGTCCCAACTCTAAAATGAACGGAGAAGTTGAGTTGATCTGTAGAGGCAATCAGCGAGGAGGGGAAATTAAAACTTACCTGCATAATAATTTCGTACGTTCATTATATGATTCTTGCCATTATTATGGGCTTTGCGTACCGAGGACGAATCTGTAATAAGACAACGAGTACAGTCAGTAGATCTCGCAATCGCGGCTGAATAATTATTTGGTTTCTTGCGACAGGAATAACATACCGTGTGTTAGGTATACATCACAGTAATCTTTGAAAGTATCGTAGACGTTAAAAACTTCAAGTTAGTAAACGTTCCGAATCTCCAAAAAACATACATACTTCTTGACGCACTTTATCTGTCCTAGGACCAACATACCGCAATAGTACTTGGGCATTGTAAAACTCTCGATCTTTTTTGTTTGTGGAGTTTTAGACGTTATTATCAAAATTCGAGGTCAGATGACTATATCCAATGAAATAACCAAAATTCTCATGCTAGAAATCTAATAATATTTGTACTTTTTAAATAATTATGAGGAAGAAATTCTCTAGAAATCTGACAATATTTGTATTAATTGCAAATATTGATAGAAAAATATTATAAGCGCTTAACCTTTGCGACCTATATTTACAAATTACCTTTGCTTCCAAATAGATGAAGTTGCTCTGTTGGCGAACGTACCATTACACAAGATAACTGCTAGCTAGTTTTATTCACAACTGTAACTGGCTGGAAAATCGTAAACGCATGACACACAATTCGAAACGAAAGCCACTTTTATTGTCCATTGATCAATCGCATAACTAACAAATCGTTTATGCCGATAGTAAACCTATCAATCTGTCAACGAAAGGCACCAATAAGAAAGAAAAGTATGAAATAAAGAGTCAAATTATTAACAACACAAATAAATGTCTCAAAATTTAATTAAACGGACAAGCGCTATATATCTCTTCTGATAGAATATATAAAACCCCACCTGAACGATCAAATTCACGTTCTGTAAATTTCACATCCCAAAATCCTTATCACAACAACAATCTCTTCAACTTTTTTATCTTTCCTTCCAGTTTACTTCTTTTTAATTGTCTATCTATAAAAGCACCATGTCTTTGGAAATTCGGTCAATCGGAGAAGTCATCAGTTATCAAGCTACACCGCGGACTGAATTTGTAGTCGGAATGGGAGTCGTTAAATCAAAAACAAGTGAAAACGAAAGTATTACATTCAACATTATCCAATTTATTCCAGTCGATGCCGAAGATCCATGTTATGTCACTTCGTTGGTTCCTAAAGATGTCTATTTCTACGGGAGTGGATTCGTCAGCACATATTAATGTCACCTGCTCCCACTCTAGAAAAATTTCTCTGGATCCATCATCCATCCCTCATGATTTTACTTACGTAACAGCAATTGGTGCGATTGCTAGTAAACCGAACATTACAGAAACGACAGTTTCGTTCGACGTAAGTCTTTCACAGTATGTAAAGACTAATACAGGAGGTACGTACCAACCTTTTACAGTAACAGCCTTTTCAATCAACAAAAATCAAACATCTATTAAATCGTACAAAAGTTTATAATGTCGGCTCTCGAGTAAAATCGAAGGCGCTAACAATATTATATATTAATATTGTGAATTGCAACATGTGACGTTTGTTATTCCGAAAAATACTACTTCCAACGGCACCAACACTGCAGTCTCTCCTCCGTCGTCTCGCCGAACCACTGTTGTCCGAAGCATCGCAGAACAGTCACCCCCACCAAAAAAACCAAAACTTGTCAATTCTTCCACCACCCTCTCAAGTACCACCGCGTCGGAAACCGAGTCAAGCGGCTCCATGCAAATTGAGGACATCAATCCCAATGAAGGCGTATCGAACGACACTCAGCAATGCTTGCATCAATCGAATCAAACAAAACGACTAAATCCAGGCGAACAACCCTACGAGATTTAGCCTCTCGGAAGTTAAGTAATTACTTGTCGATCGAAGTTTTTTTCAATGTATTAATTATTGTTTAAACATTTGTTATATGCTATTACTATACATTTTAACAATAGCTTTATACAGATAAGACATTCTCCTGTTACTTTTTCTTTAATAAATTCATATTTTCTTACCACAATCGAACGTATAATGAGCTTAAATCATGATGACTCCGTTAATGTATATCACTTTAAGAAGAACTGTCGGTATAGGTCTATAACTTTATTCATCCATTACTTTACTATATGACCATGGTAATATCTTTTTACATTCTAAAAGGTTTGTTACGAAAACACTGCTATTAATAAATCGATATGACATTTGAGAATTAACGCAAGGAAATAAGATCTTCCGACGTAATTGTAGGTTTACTTAAAACAACGAAAGAACAATTTAAAACACATAAAGCACGTACTTTACAATATGTCCCTGTTAACAATAAAGAGCAAAGCAGAAACATCATGATACCTTTATGCATATTACTAAATTTAAGTATCAGGCTGGAAACCAGAAAGTTATTCGCCTGCAAACTACTGGTTCGATAACAATTATTTATTTACAATAAATTATGTGAATCGGTCAAGTATAGTTATATTTGCCAACTCCCAAAGCCAGAATTATGGCCATACGCTCGTGTTCAAGATTTTGATTCGCAATGACCACTCTATGTGTATATATAAAAATTCATACAATGTTGTATCTAATGACAAAAGAATAAAGACCACATACAATGTCGTTCAACACTGACAGAGACATTTTGTGGATCATCAAGATGGGACAGGCTGGCAGGAGAAGGAAAAGCTGCAAGAGTAGTCGACCGACCATTCAATTCCAAAAACTTTAGCGGAATGAGAATCCGAAAAAGACCAATCAGCCCCAAGTAATCACAAGCAAAACGATGCCTGTAAATTGGGCTTGTAGTTGTTAATTGGATTTATTGTTTTTGGAAAGTGATTCTAAATTAAAGGCCGTGATAACCGATTCCTATAAGAGGGGAATTAGTATGTGAGTCATTAGCCATAGTTCGATAGTTTGATCGTAAACTAAAACCACATATCTACGCCTTTCCCTATATCTGTCCAACTGCTCCTTTATCTACTCTGTCCTTACCAAACTCCGATCCCATCCTAACCGATCCCAAGTTTCTTTGACATTTCTCAGCGTCTTATTCTTGCTCCTTTCTCCGGTGCCCTCGCCAGTTCCATATTCTTCCGACTTTACTGGTAACCTTTTGATTTCTCTTCCATTTTTAAGCAACACCACTGTTGGGAGATCAAGGGAAGTGGGAGAAAGAGACACAGAGTAATCTGTGGATAGGGAGGGGTATAGATCGAGATCTATCTTGCCGAAACGCAACGCTGGTGATGTATAACTAGTCATGGGTAGTGGGAAGGGAGGAAGCGTGAGAGTCCTCGAATTTCATTCAGCTTTTTGGCAACACCATTTGTTCCATATTACGTATACCTACATCATTGAAGCCCTGGCGACGACATACTCAAAGTTCAATGATGCTGGATTCCACGTGGTATAGAAAAACACTACCCAGTATTGGTCTTCTTGTTTTGCTTTACCCCTGCCCAGCCTCGTTCTTGTCCCAATTGGACCTTCGGCCATTTCAAATCGATTTCGTTCTATTTCGCTTAGATTTTCAGCGGAAAGAGGTATTATTTTTGTTGGTCCTTGATAGGTTGGTTGTGGTAAGACTGAAAAGAGAACTGTTTTCGACGAAGAGGAAAGAGGGTTAGTGAATGCGATTGGACATGCCCTAGCAGCTGGCTAATACAACGCTGCAGATTAATATATGGAATCAAATTGCAGTCAAAAGTACAGAAACAAGTTCTCTAGATCTTTACCTCCCCATACAACAGCGTATATAGCAGTCACGATCGTCTTTCCATACCAATAAAACATAGCAATATTATACAGCTTGCCGTATAAAAATAGAATGGATAAGAATTCTTCTACACTCGCGGCTGAGCGGTATTTTATTACCAAGAGGAATATTAGTGTTCCATACAATCTTGCTTCTGGTGGCTAAATTAATGGTGAGAATTCAGTGTAAGCTAACTGGGTTTTTAACACCAAGTGCTGAAATGACAAGAGACCATACTGAGAGTATGATCGAATACTACTTTCAAAGTCACTTCATGCACAGCTTTTAACTTACGCTTAGGCTCAAATCAAAATAAGAGTCACATAATGCTGGAACGTATCTTATCACGAAGAAAATTAAACAGAAACAGAAGTTTACTACGTAATATGGAAGTAGAAGACGTTGGCTTAATTCCGACATTATAACTTAAAGGTGAATATAAAGTGGGATGGGTTGGTGATTTAAGAGTGAATGCATGGATGCGAGTGATCTGATCAATCATGAGATTGCAGATGATTTGCCCTTTTCTCTTTCATTTTCGCTGGATGTTCATCCTTCAACTGCATCTGGAAATATTAAAGTTTATCTACACGTCGTCTTTATCATCATGTGTTTGATGCAGAACCATAACGCTTAAACCTTAAGTAGCGGTTCAACATTGTAAATATTAATATTACGTCTTTGGCATAAAATAAGGTTCACCACGACGGAAAAGACACGCTTAAAAATAATGTCTGCAAACACACGTTTTTTACGTGATAAGATTATTGCCATGAATTGCTTCTATTCTTGTTATTATGCTTTCGAGTTCACAAATGCGCTCATGTAAAACAACTTGAACAAATTAATACGTATTTGTATGGGGATTATTTGTCCCTGACTAAATGCGAATTTGTCGGTAAATGCAATACAGAATCATTCACTTTATTATAAAAGAACGCCCCGCTGTCAAACAAAACGATAAATTGATAAACACGTTGCTATTATTATTATGGTAGGAATTACCCATTCTTCCGGCATCGAGAATTCCGAAACCTGATTGTGATCAAACAATCAGACCATGAGTGTCACAGACCTGGTTTATAATAATAGTAATAGTATGTTTTAGCTTTTTATTTCTTGAGCACTAATCGGATATATTTAAAAAGCAATCAATCATACAAGAATTGAGTTGGTTTACTTTGTATCGTATCGTATCGACTTACTTGCGTGTCTCGTTTTTAAAGTGGGTCGAATTCTCTCATTCAATGCTATTCCACGTTTGTACGTTCTCGATCGGTAATGATGACTCAACGCTCGAACCACCACCCCCCGTCTTCGTTTGAATAACCAATCGCATCACTCCGATCAGCCATGAAATCCGAGACCATGTTGAAGTAATTTCTCGCTACAAGTCTTGAGCTCGACAACTTTCATGAAGGCAAATCTTCACATTAATAACAGTGGTCCCTGTTATACATCACACATACCCATCATATCATCTCATTTCTTCCCATAATGGCCTCTACACACTACCATCACGTATCGCAATCACACCATACTCACAACCATAACCATGTCCCAAATAACCATTTCTCAAATAACCACTACAATCGACATCCATCTTCGCATACGAAGGAAGTCTTTGCAACCCAATGGCGCTTTAATAAGAGCGATTTAAATCGTACACCGTCGAGATCCGACGGAATCTCAAAAGAAGAAGAGATGGCGAGGCGGTGTAAAGGAGTGAAGTTTATTGTAGAATGTGCGTACGAGTTGAAGCTGTATCCTTTTAAGCAGAATTATGGAAAGCATTGACAAAGCGTTAAAGAGGAAAGAATTATTATTAATGTCCTCAATGACACTAGACCACAACCGACGATAGCGACTGCCACTACATATTTACATAGGTTTTATATGAGACAGTCGCTAGCCAAACACCACCATTACGTAAGTCTTTGCCAAGGGCGGTACGACATTACAATTGAGAAACTTTTTGCGTGTCATTAACAAGTCAGTTCGACACCGAACAATGTCTTTATCTATCGAGTTGACACCATTCGCAAACAATCTTACCTGCTTCCTTTCTAAGAATAATACCGTTCTCGTTCTTTCTCTTCACCTATAGGACATTGGCGGAACATGCTTGTTCCTGGCCTGCAAGTCCGAAGAAAGCAATCGCAAACTAGCTGACGTTGCAACTGCATGTGCAAAGAAAGCACAGAAGAACGACCGCTTTGAAAATCGAGCAGTAAGTTTCGATGAGTAATATATGCCTTTAATGATGGGAATCGATGAGGGGATTAATTTATTAGTTGAACGGACGTTATGCGGTATCTAGACATAGAATGTCGTTATATATTGTAGTACAGAATATAGTAGCCGTACCTCCCGTATTACGAATTTCTGCCTACTCATATCTTCTTGTCCTGAATTTTTCCTTCCAAAGGAGTTTGAAAAGTGGGCTGGGACAATACGTTCCAAGGAGCCGATCGTCTTGGCACAATTATGTTTCGATTTCAACGTTGAGCATCCGTATATTTGGTTGAGATATGCTCGAGAACTGAAAGGTTAGGCTTGTCGATATATTTAAATCGTCTTGGTCCGTCCATGGTGTCAATATTGGCGAGAATACACGATGAAGGAGTAGATTAATTAATGCGTTTGGTTATTGAGGATGTCTGAGATGACGGTGAAAAACATTGATCGAAAAAGCTGGGATTTCAATTAGCTGTCTGTTGCCTAACTTTTTTACCAATTTCCTAGTTCAAAGCAAAGAAACAGCGAGGCTTCTTGCTGTACAGGCCTGGTGTCTAGTGAATGATAGGTATATTAATACAAATTACATTTCGCATTGAAAATGTGTTGATCTATCATATTTACTGACTTGCTACAACTTACCTATCATTCAGCTTGCGTACACCCCTCTGCCTTATCCACACACCACAAACAATCGCAAGCGCAGCGCTTTATTTGTCTGCAAAGTTGTCAGGGATCGAGTTGAATGACGACCCCGACCAAGGAAAGGTCTGGTGGTCGATCCTTAATAATGACATACAAAAAGTCGCAGGTAAAGAACATCTGCTTAAACAAATGTGTTTATTTCGTACGCATCATATAAAGATTATCGATATTGATTGAACCGCTTTATCCAGATGCGGCAGAGATGATGCTTGAACAGTATGCAACTCAGCCAGAGATAGCCAAGGAAATTCAGGTGACTTTCGTGATTCCGATTCAGATTAACTTTATATCCTCAATTGGAACTATTTACTCTCTGTTTGTCTGTGTTGTGTTTGTTGTCTGTCTGTGCCCCTCATTCTTCCTCTGCAATTTTTGTTTTCTTTTTCTCTCTCTCTATATATACCTATCTCTTCCATCTGTGCTCTAGCCATCCCACTCACCATCATCTCTCTCGCTCCAAAACAACTCTGCTCAATCTTAATCTGTGCTTTATCTTATACTTTACCATCGATGATGTATACGATTATTTATAGCATCTAACTTAAATAATACAGTAGAATATCTAACTATGAACTATATTTGTAGATAATGCAACAAAAGCGAAAGGAGAATGGAGTTGTAGATACGGCAGGGATGATACGGCAGGGAGACGGGGGGAGGAGAGAACAGATTTCGGAAAGGAATGGGGCAAATCAGAGGGAACGGAGAGCTTCGGATGGACACTTGAAGGATGGGCGGTCGAGGGCTGGTGATATGAGAGATGGTTATATGACAGATGGTCACCCGAGGAATGCTTATGTAAGAGAGAACTTTACGAGAGATGGACGAGTGAGAGATGGTTATTCGTTTATGGGAAATACGGGGATCTTCAATGGGCATGACCAGAGATTTGACGGGTGGAAAGATAGTCAGAAGAATGAATATCAGGGTGATGTCGGTCAGAGAGAGGGCGTTCGCAAAGACACTTCAATGAAAAATTACTATTATAGAGATGGATATGACAGGAATAATTTTAGAGATGGCAATTACCAAGATGCAATTCATAGAGGTATCGATTACAGATATAATAGGAACGGCAATTACAAAAATGCTGTTAATAGAGGTATCGATTATAGGTATACTAGAGACATCAATTACAAGAATACCAACTTCAGGCCCTTTTCTTTTCAATCTCCTTCCATAAATCGCACACTCTCGAGTACACAAAACGAGACTCCGGAAGATGGAGAAATTACGCAGTTAGAAGACAATGACAGGCGTTTATTTGGGAGGAAACGAAGGCGTGATATCGAAGACAAGGATCGATGTGGGGATACAGATTATTTGGTGCGGAAGAGAGTTAATAGTGTGGAAGGATGTTGAGATTGGAGTGAGAGATGAGGATGAACAGCATCTGATTCTTGGTGGTTTATTCGGTTTATTTGATCAAGTATGTAGTTGGTTGATATTTGATGCCACGGGCATTTGTCATCACGTATGTAATATACTCATTCACTATCGATATTAACAAATGCATTTTGATTGTGTGTGGTGTGTGGTGTGTGGTGTGTGGATGTGTGGTTTGTGTCTTGTCAGTTGATAATATACCAGTATTGTCATTTTGGACGATGATATTATCGAATCTGTGTGTAAAAATGTTTCCAATTATGAATAAAATGATATACTGAATGTAAAAAGTTGAATGACTGTGTTAACCTTATGGGCGCACCGTTTAATATTAATATGCGTTACCAATTATGCGTCGCACCTCCAACAGTTGATATCTAATGACCAACCGTTCCTTTAACAACTTTCGAAATCTTCGGTAATTAACAATTTTGATGAATCCTTCGCAAGTACAGACAGAAGTTTGCTGGACAGCCAAGCTTGTTTGCACTGTTCATACGACTTGATTCACTCAACTGTCTTCATGTAACCCAGCTTGAGTCAGAATTTGAAAATGGTTGGAAAATTAAAAGGTCAAGTTGTTTACGAAGGTAATTGTCTTATCTTTTGTTTGTTAACTGCTTCGGTACGATTGTTTATAAAATATGAAAAAACCCATTGTCAGATCAAACAACGGTTTTATACTGTCAACTGGATACAGGTTGAGGGGTTATTTTATTGCGCATTATATAAAAGAATAATAACAGTCAATGGCGGATTGTTTACCTATGTTGTGACAGCAAAAAGTGAAACGATATGGTCACAATCATAGTTGCCCTGGACGGCCGGCCCAATTTGAGGAGGGTAGATGGTAACCACTGAACGGCACTGCGTGGATAAGTTAATACCGCTACCCCAAATTTTGCATTAACTGCAATAGAAAGCAAAGGTAACCGGGGACGAGACTGTTACCTCTGGGGAGCTGAATTCTGTTAGTTTAAAGGAGCAGAAGTGGTTTAGCATACGAATCTGTCAATCAAGTTACAAATCCAAAAGATATATGCCGTCATCGTCGTGATCATATAATTAACGTAACGGGTCTGCACCCCCAATTAGTTTATTTTCCATAAATAATATATAAATCTAACTAGATAACATTTTCATCCGAGTGCACTTTGATATTAGTACCTCATTGGCTGTTACTCGCTGCTGCCTTCGCGAGAATTTGTATAATCAGAATAACTGGTCTCTGCTTCGGACTCGGCCGAAACTTCATTGCTCCCACCGTTATCCGAGACACCATCGTCGGAGGCATCGTCAGAAGAATCGTCAGAGGCATCATCCGACACATCGTCCCACATTGTCAATGCAGATATGGACTGTTTTTTCGAAGAACGTGAAACGGGTTTTTTTGATTTCATCACTTTACAATGACAGAAATTAGCATATAAATTAATACGACGAACTCAAAGCCGAGAACTAAATTATTAAAAAGAGTGATTTAACTACCTTCAGCAACTGTATTTTTAACGTTTTCAATAATTTCTTGGCTATCTTGTAGATACTTATTATCGTCAAACCGACACTTTTTGGCCGGATGCTCTTGTAATCCCTCATCTATCTTCTTCTGAATTTTCTCTTCTCTTGCGCGTTTTCGTTCTGGCTCCTTCTCAAGATAATCTGCCAACCTACAATTACACCGATCATGTTATTTACGTCGACAATAAATCTTATTCAGACGTATTAGAAATCCATCTCTTCTCTCTGGCAGTCAATAAATTTACCTTTTAGCCTCTTTAATAGTCCGTAAACGGCGTCCATTGAGATCTCTACATGCTTCAAAGTTGGTCGTCTTCTGACTAGCCATTTTACCACCTTGAGCTCTCAACATGCTCCCAAACCCACCTTTTCCACCTAGCAGTCTTAAATTTAAATTCAGAGTAACAAACTCCTTGTTACTTTCCTGGAAGACAGATGAATTGTCATCGAAAGGTTTTCCCCCAAGTGTCGTAAATCGCTGTTCAGCAATAGGTATTGCTGCTCGCAACTCCACCTCGGCTTTGACTTGATGAATCGAGACATCGGAAGGGACTGTGAAACATAGTGGTGAACGACCACCAAATAAATTTATAACCACTTGGCCGTAAGACATTGCTGAATTACGAGATGGTTCGCCGAGGAAGGTTTGGATTGTATAATAATAAGGCAACAAAGGCCTGGTGTGAACATGTGCCATCTAAATATTTCAGGGATTATAATTAACGCCACAATGTACGTAATTGGAAAGTACACACCCCCATACTGTATGTAATTTATTATCATTACAGTCAGTGACTGGTTTTTGGTTAAATATTTCGACATAGGACATAACTTCATATTTATGCATAGAATAAAGTATAATAAGCAGGTCTTGCGTTGTTCGGAATGAACAACAAAGTTCAAAGAGACACGCCCTCAGACTTTGTAAACAAGAGGATCTTGAGACTCGATCTGTTGCTCAGACCAATAATCACCTGTTTCTTCATCGTGGAACTTCCACAATTCATCAAAGGGTGAGATAAAGGCGTCCAAAAGATCGGCCAACTCTTTTTTGACAGTGGGACCAAGAAATGTAAAGAAGTCTAATCCGAAATGTGCAAAAGGGTGTTGTTGTTGTTCTTCAAATTTTTGACGTTCGGACTTGCGAATTGGTGGAACCTCTCTGAGTTGTCCTTGAAAGCCGAGTTGCCAATACAAAGTGATGTATTCCTCTTCATGATTTTTGAGATCTGATTTTTGAAAAACAAACCACGACTTTAGTTTGGAGGTGCCAGATTCCGGATAGCTCTGGTCTGCACTCCGATTGTTCGATGCATAGTTCTTCACTTGAATGAGAATATAGGAATATCTGTCTTCTGTTAATTTTACAGGGATCATAATGTCCGCACCGGGGTTATTTCGCTTGAGAATCACAGCACATCGTCGTCGATAATATTCTTTTAAAGAACGTTTTTCAGGAACGTATACTATGGGAATAAAGTGCGTAAAAGCCACAGTTGCATCCACAAACGATTGTAGCTCATTAATAGCTGCTGGATCCAGCAGTTCCATTAATCGTTTGACTGTGATGGCGGATGATTTCCAATCTTTGTTTTCCTGTATAGACCTCACTGCAAGAATTAGAATAATTCGTGCTACCACCTCTCCATGAATGCCTGCATCGATGAAACCCTTTCTCAGCATCTCATTAAAGTTTTGCAAAATGCTAACCAATGTCTTCTCCTTAGAAATAATGGTGTGTGCTGCTTCTGCTAATAAAGGTTCTGAGGGATAACGAACTAACAAGTGCTCCCTGTCTTCTGATATTGCAACACATGTTGCCATATAGGATCCCACAAGCTCAGAAGTGATCTTTGATTGTGGTGAAATGTCCAGGCAAACAAGTACTGATAAAATGGCAATACTGGACAGTTCCTTTCTGTGGCTATTATCAAAAGATCTTGCTCCACCAAAGAGTTTATTCTGCAATAGTGTGACAAGCCCTTTGAGGGCTGTTTGAGTTGAAGAACTTTCTCCTTTAGCTTTAAGATAGCTGTATATTAATGGTCTCCCTAGCTTTGCCAACTGAACAATCTGGTCCTCTTCAGATGTTCCTGCTGGACCTCCTGTCATTCTTTCAAAGATATCCATTGTTGCAAGTCTAACAAAAGGATGAAACAAATGTAATTGTGCCTCATCATCTCTTGAAGATGGATCCTCTGATAATAGTGCAAAGTTGGAAATTTTGCTGTGTGTATCCAAAAATAGGATGAAGAAACCATTCCACACAATATGTTTCATAGCTCTTCTAAACATTTGGAATGGAGTTCTGTTTTTGCCTGGTACATAACGAGTGAGGTATCGAGCTTCATCAATGCATAAGATAATCTTGACTTGGTTATTGGGATTGTCTGCATCATAGAATGGAAATTTCTCCTTGGAGAGGCTTGCATCATTCACTTCAATTGTAAGCCACTTTTCACTAGCTGTTGAGACCTCTGACCAGAACTTATGGCACCATTTGTTATTCAGTTGTTGTTCCCAAAGGTCTGTAGCTGATGAGGTGAGAGAATATTCATGCAGTTTTTTGATAGCATGCCAAATAATGAACATAAACTGCCATTCTTTCCATTTGGGATGTCATTCAGAAGATCAAAGATTTTTGGTGCAATAGGTGTAGCAGGTGGGTATCCTGTGCTTTCCTCAGGGCATAAGCACACATATAACATAGGAATTTTCATTGCAAGCTGTTCAATAAGGCGAGTTTTCCCATAGCCAGAACTCTGAAAAACTGTTCCATAAGGTACACGAGTTATCTTATTGCCAAGCCAATATGCATGTTTCTTATCAATATAATTCTGAAACCGTTCGACTGTGTTTAATGGATCCTGGTATGGTACTCTAAAGGCCCCTGCAACAGTTAGCTCTGGCTGGGGAATCACAGTTGCAGAATGTTCTATACCTTATGAAACAGGAAAGAAAAGAAGAACAAGAGAGTAGTAAAGAGACAAAACGGAATTAATAATAGATTTACTGGTACGAATTCCGAGTTCTTAATATTAAAAAAACAATCGTTCGGTCGATTTTAATTGTCCGTTATAAATGAGCAATAAAAAACTCGTAGGATAAGACAACATTCTCTATGCCTATTCTACTCTCCTCCCAACACATGTCGTAATGCATTTCAAACATTCTCCCTCAGTCACAAAGTCGTTACCTGTCTGCCCTAGCAGAGCGTTTTTTTCCTTTCGTAACTCTGCGAGGTTCGAGTATAGTGAGGTAAGAAGGTTTTGACCCTTAGTTATTCCAAGCTCCCTTTTGGTTTCTTCGATGTCAGTTTCAATTTTCTTGATTTTTTTGTCTATTTCTTCAATGGTCGTCATCTTTTTGTTCATTTGATGGATGGGAAGATGTGCTGCTAATATACCAGTGGCTTATAATCACGATTAATAATTGAATTATGTGAATACTTCTCTCATACACAATGTATTAATTATCGCGAGAACAGGAGCGTGACTTCTGTATTACACCTCCTGCCAGTTATTTTCGGGGATTTATATTGCCTGTAAGCTGTGAAAGAAGTATAGTTGGTGATTGGCTGACTGCGTTTTTTTTTTCTGAAGGTACATAATAATATACGTGATTGTGGCTTTATATTAATATACCGTATACAGTCAACTGCCTATAATAATAATTCGACCGCTTGCGTTCCGAGGTTATCGATCGAATTAACGTACAAGTCGAATTAATTACAATAGAAATAATAATAAAATGTTCTGTAACCAACGAAGGGATGGCAGTTCCTTTCTCCGACCCATCCATTATCATACCTAAAAAGTTCTTTTACTACTGTTAACGCTCATTTAGATGCTCATTTTGTAAGCCTTTTCTGATTTTCTTTCTCAATCATGTTTGTGGGCATTTTGGTGTCGGTAAAAGGAGGCATTGCATAATTTCGTTATTAAGGCCTGAAATGGGTGTCTCCAATTTTCAGTGAAATTATATAAATTATTACGTTGTTGGAGATAAAGGATATCCGTTGATACGATGCCACGGTTATATAATTCATTACGGCGATGGAAATCATAAATGAAAAATAACCGGAAATATTGAGTTGCATTTTCGCAGTTGATAAATTGTTAATCGTTAGTTTGATTTATTGAGCTCCGCTGATAATAATAATTGGTTTTCTTAACCAAATCTCCAGCAACTTCGTATTTTTATATGTCAAAATTGTCAGCCGTACGGCCAAGCGAACTGTATTGGATTTCGTTCTAAATCGAGTTAATAAATTATCAGTATAACGGGTTCATGCAATTATAACCGTGTCTTACATTTATGGATTTACTGTACATACAATATATATACAGTATGTGTATACGTGTTACGTGAATAATTGATATTATTATAATACCGTAATTATAGACTGTGAAAATGAGGTAAATTAGCATGCCACGAAAATTTTGCAGTTCCGAAATCGACTTGTTTATACTTCCAAATAACGTATATAACATATAATGGCGACCATATGATCGAACAAAACTCGGTGGAAACGTCTAACAACAAAACGCCGCTCGTTAGTGGGCGAGCAGAATACTTCCCATAACAGGTCATCAAAGACTACAACGCCCTACCAATCCTTTTGTTGCTGAACCATCCCAAGGAACCAAACGCGATCTCGATAGTGAAGACGATAGAAACTGTAATCGATGTGGGTGATGACAAATCCTTTCGTTGCCAAGGGACTAAACGAGACCTCGATAGTGAAGACAATGAAACTCTACAAAGTGTAATGGCAACTATTTTATGGTCGCCGATAGAAAGTTATTATTCTCCATGTGGATTTTGCTCTGAATGTGGAATCCACTGATGGACTGCAACAATAACAATCAAATACAGTTAATGATGCTTGTTTAGAAGAGATCTTGGTCTCAATCAGGAAATTGAAACTCAACCATTCGAGACGCCTTGCATGAAAGTATTTCATACTTGCAGAAATCAGGCATATTAATATATTCTTTTTGTATTATCATGTACAATGATTGCCATCAGTGAACCACCTTTCAGAGATAGGCGATATTATGGGCGGACTGTGACCTATTCAGCACCAGAGGCATGTAAAGAGTTGACTGAGCGGTGTTGTGACGTTGATCAGCGTCCACTTGTAAGGGGATATCAGCAATCACATCTCTGAAGCGCTGCATGATAGATCTGACGTTTAAAATAGACCGTTGTCAATATTCACAATAAGCTTTTACCAAAAAACGAAGACAAAAATTGGTTTGTGTGTGATAAAGTTAACTGAATATTAACATCATCCATCGTTTTATAATTAGCGACTCAAAATTTTGAATAAACTTGCAGTTTACGTTTTATTTACAGTTTATACAAAAGTTTTACTCTCTCAACTAAAAGTACGTAGCATTAAAGCATTATAATAAAATTGTCGCACGGTCTGACGATTTTCAAACTATAAGTGTGCTCGTACGTAGATTATCGCTCTTTTCATTTTGTCATAACGTGAAAACTTCTGCGAGCCAGTGATTACTACATAGGCAAACTCGATAAGTCGGATTTGGCTTAACTCGGACAAAAATTTTCGGCCCCTTTTTTGAATAGTTAAAAAATTTTGATAAGTCGGACGGCATATATAAAATCGCGATAAGTCGTAACTCGGACAATCCTGTCGACCAGATTATAACAAATGACTCTCGATAAGTCG